AAAAATGTCATAGTATAGTAAGGCATAATAATGTCATAAAAATGTCATAGTATAGTAAGGCATAAAAATGTCATAGTATAGTAAGGCATAATAATGTCATAAAAATGTCATAGTATAGTAAGGCATAATAATGTCATAAAAATGTCATAGTATAGTAAAGTATAAAAATGTCATTGTATAGTAAGGCATAAAAATGTCATAGTATAGTAAGGCATAATAAGTTCATAGAAAGTCATAGTATAGTAAGGTATAAAAATGTCATAGTATAATAAGGCATAAAAATGTCATAGTATACTAAGGCATAAAAATGTCATAGTATAGTAAGGTATAAAAATGTCATAGTATAGTAGGGCATAATGTCATAAAAATGTCATAGTATAGTAAGGCATAATAATGTCATAAAAATGTCATAGTATAGTAAGGTATAAAAATGTCATAAAAATGTCATAGTATAGTAAGGTATAAAAATGTCATAGTATAGTAAGGCATAATAAGTTCATAGAAAGTCATAGTATAGCAAGGCATAAAAATGTCATAGTATAATAAGGCATAAAAATGTCAAAGTATAGTAAGGCATAATAATGTCATGAAAATGTCATAGTATAGTAAGGGATAAAAAATTTCATAAAAATGTAATACTATAGTAAGGCATAAAGATGTCATAAAAATGTCATGGTATAGTAAGACATAAAATGTACTAGTATAGTAAGGCATAAAAACGTCATAGTATAGTAAGGCATAATAATGTCATAAAAATGTCATAGTATAGTAAGGCATAATAATGTCACAAAAATGTCATAGTATAGTAAGGTATAAAAATGTCATACAATAGTAAGGCATGAAAATGTCACATTATAGCAAGGTATAAGAATGTCATAATATAGTAAGGCATAATAATGTCATAACAATGTCATAGTATAGTGAGGTATAAAAATGTCATAGTATAGTGAGGCATAAAAATGTCATAGTATAGTAAGGTTTAAAAATGGCATAGCAGAATACATCACTGTGTTAAACACACAGTGGAGGGTTTGTTGGCAGCTGTGATTTCCTGAGCACTGTGTACAATGTGCTGAAGCAGCAGCTCAGCTGTTTTCCCTCAGTAGCTCTTTCTTCTTCTGCTTCTGTTTTTGTTTGTTCCTCTTCATTGATTTACTGCCTTTGAACGTCCTGCATCCTGCTCAGGTAGTGAAAACTAACACTAATGAAACTGCTGATTTCTATCAGGATAAACTAACAAGTGTATCTCATCAGTAAATTATTGTAAAAGTGTTTTGATGTGTACTGGGACTTAAAAACCAGTAGCTAAAGATGTATTTGAATCCTTCAATAGCTGGAGTAGTATTCAGGACAAGTACAAAACTACAGGAACAAATATCAACTTGAGTAGGCTTTCAAAAGTAAAGTATTTTTCATGCAAAATAAAAGTAACCTGTAAGCAGCATTTTAATGTTGTAGCTAGACCAGATGTCACTTTGTCAAATGGTTATATACAACTCTACTCACAAGCCTTTTTCAGAAGTGAAATATTTCTATTAATTATAAGGACTTGATGAAGAGAAATTTTTTTTCCCTTCTTACTGTTATTTTCAAGTTGTTTTTAGGCCCGAAGAAGAAAAATCTTCCAGTATATCAGAGGAAAGTTACAAAGATTAAGAAACCAAACCAACACATATTTTCGTCTTCCTTAACTTGTTAATCATCTTGTGACCCAGGTTGGGAAATACCCTTTTAATGTACAGTGTAGTAGTAAACAGTCAAACAAATACTGTGCTTGGGTACAATTTAGATTTTATGCCATTTATATACTTCTAATTTACCAAATTTCAAAATGCAGGACTTTAATGTGAACTGAAGTTATTTTCACAATGTGGTATTAATACTTAACGGTCTTAATATTTCATCTACCAGTCACATAAGTTTATAATACCTTTACAATGCTGTCAAATGTAGTGCAGTAAAATGTAGTAGAATATTAGTGTAAAGTTGTTGGTCAAGTGGAAACAGTTAAAATGTTCTAGCACTGAACTTGAATAAATGTACTGAATTTGTAAACAAACTGACACAACACACTCTTTCAATGTAATTTATTCAGTGCAGCTTTTTCATTTAGCTTCATTAAACTGATCAAACATACAGCTCAGCACAGTGACAGGAGAAAAAACATGTTAAAGACCTCATGAAAACAAATACAAGCATTGACTTATTTTAGCTGTGAAGTGATGGAGGATATGACCAGCCACACAGAGAACACGGAAACAGCATTTCTCAACAGTCTTATTGTATTTCATTCATGCAGTTAGTTGTTATGAAGAAAATGGGGTTTTAGTGCCTTGCTCAGGGACATGCTGACAGACTGAACCTGTCTCAGAGTTAAAGAGTATCAGTTGATTTATTTTGCTCCTTTTGTTCACTTTGTGTATCTTCTCCTGTTTAATCACCTGTTTCATCTCTTCATGAGGTCTTTAAGTCTTTTCTTCCTTTCACACTTTGTTTTCTGCTCTCTCCACAGATGCTATTTACATTCTGATAATATAGATCTCAACAGTTCAGTTAAAGCAGCATCTGTACAGTTTGATGAGGTGAGCGATGTTTGTCTATTTTTGCTTTAAAGTATATTGTACACTTGCAGTTGCTTCGATTCTCTTTGACATTAAAGGAACAATATGACATTTTAAATTTTAGTCCTTTACTTTTCTTCACAGGGAACTGAGCTGGAGAAAGTCTAAAATAAGAGCAGAGTATGTGGAAAGAAGCAATTTCTTCATTTATTTTTTTTGTCGTCTTTATTCGATTAGGAATTAGCTCGGAAAAGAAAGCTCAAGGACTAAAACTGAAAGTGTTCCTTTAATGGATCTGTGTTTTCTGTGGTGAACATGGCAGGTTACTGGATAAGCAGACATTCATTAATGAGAGATGTGATGATGACTGAAGTGGTGAACCATAAAACTGTAAAACATTCACTGAGCATGTCAACAAAGACACAAAAACTGGCACCAACATATTTAAAACCATGATTTTTTTTAAGGTTTTTTGAGTGCCCCCCTCCCCCCCAAACCCAATCCCCCACCCCCCAGATATTATATATACAAGTCCTCGCACAGGAAATTAAAAAAGTAAATTCACTTCAACTTTAATCATTTCTGGAGGATTATTTGCTCCGAAACGACTGAAGAAACCACTTTTAAACTATTCTAATGCCAGTTCTACTGCTACGACATTACTAATAGTTCAATCAACAGCTAAAACAGCATGTTATAAATTAAATGTTAAATCTGACAAGCCTGAGCTTAATTTACATCATAAGAACATGACACTTACAGCATTATTAGTTCACAGCCTTATTATATACATTACATACAGTATTCAGCATTTACAAACTGTACATTTGAGGACAAAGATTTCTTAAAATAGCTTTTCACTTTTCTTGAAGACAAAAATAAGCTCTTAAATTTCTGTCTCAAAATCACAGACAAGTCCCTTCCAACAAATCTGTCACAGTTTACACTATTTTTCTTACAGAATTGGATGAACTGGGTTGTATGGGATTTTGAGGGTAATCGATAAATTGATAGGAAACCCTCACATGGAGGTTTGGCTTTTATTGATGGCCAAAACTAAAAAATGTGACACCTTCTCTAAGTTTAGCTCAGCTGTGAAATGGATTCTTCAAGTTTACTGAACTACTAATATATATATATAGAAAAAACAGCTAACTAAAATTACATGTCTTCACTTTTGTTTAGTGGTTTTGATCTGTCTTCCACACAGGTCAGACTCTTATAGACTGTATTTACAAGCCAAACAAAAACAGCATGTGGTACAGATCTGAGGTAACATTGACTTTCTGTTAACCCCTCTCCCTGTCACATGTAAAATTATTTGTGGACATTCTAAGGGTTGGATAGAAAAAAATGTGATCTCTTTAGTTTATTAATATATACAATATATTATATGGACAGTCTGGTCAGGGTTTTAGAAATTTTCCCACAGTGCGACTTCACCTCTGTAAGAAATCTTTGGCTAAACACAAAATAAATCTACTAAATTTTATTTTTCATATTATATTTATTCATTGAATGTTTTCTATGACATGTGTCTCTGTACATGATGGTTTATATGCTGTTTTAATGCTGTATGAAAGAATTTTCTATAGGAAAATCATTTTGGTGGAGAAATATTTAATTTAATTATTATTAAAATTATTTTAATTTAACTTATTGTTTAACTTAAAAAAAGAGTCATATTTAAGGATTTTGATTTAAAAAAAAATCAGAATTCACCTTTAAAGATAAATGTAATTCTCTGTAATTGTAGAACGTAAAGTCACATTCAGGTCATTGAAATCCCAAATTTCCACAAACTGAGAACGTGACTCTATTGTTGTTGTTGTTTCTTGGTTGTGGTTATAGTCCTGGGTGGGGTTTGGTGGTTCAGATTCAGATATGAGTTAATAAAAGTTACCAAAAATCAACTTTTAAAATATTCTTTAAATTAATTTTTGTTGTTAAAAAATGTTACAATTTTTGTACTGTGACATTAAATAGAAAATAGGTGGATTACACCCTCTGGATATTTATCCAAATAAAAAAAACGTACTTATCATTAAACTTAAAAATTAAACTTAAAATTTTAATGCCAGTTGTCTTTTTATCAGAGAAGGTGTCATATTCCATGAGTATTGCATATCTATTTAAGGCAAGCTGGGCTTCGATAAGTGGAGATTTCTTTGCAAAATTAACTTTTAACCTTACTTGGCCTGTACAGACTCGGAAAATGTGGGATAAAGCTTCTACTATACCTGCAACATGTTAAAGCTGCTACACATGACAGGAGCAGAAATAAGAAAAAAATACAGAATAAAATCAAACATTTCATTACAGTAAGTGGAAATAAATTATGAAAACGGTTCATATAACAGCTCTTAACTCTTATAATGAACATTTTCTCATGTGCAAACTATTTCTTTGTGCGCTGCCTCCTCTCTGTGCTCTCACCTTAAAGGCATTGTTACAGAAACTGTGCAAATTATTGGCTCCTGCACCAAAGAGTAAGATCAGTGTGCAAACCTAAAGAAAATGGGTCCTGTTTATCCGTGGGCAGGAAAACAGAAGCAGAATCAGTGAATATTTCTCTCTTTTGTTTTCTAAGCCTTGTAAGCAAATTACTTTTGTGTAGGAACGTTGGTGTAAGTTTCCTGCCTCCTGAAACAGACACACATCCACCTTTTTTTATCTAAATCTTCTGCTGTCATGCCAACTGAGTTTGTGACCAGGAAAATTTACCAATATCAGATAAATTGGTCTCAGAGAAGCTTAAAGATCAAGGAAAGACCTTTTACATCTGCTGATTTTAAAAGAATTTCTACCTTAGGTCAACAAGAACCACCTGGACATGTTGCAGACACGTGGAGTTTTACAGTTTTACAACAACTTGTATTATTTTCCACAATTTCAGGCCCTGTCCACACGTACATGGGTGTCTTTTAAAACGTAGCTTTTTCTATGCGTTTGGCCTTTCATCCACATGCAAACTCCAGCCAGAGTGAAAACGTTCAGAACCTCTGAGTTATTGGCTTGTAACATCAGTGTTGTTTTTCATACTGAAACTGGTGATACCTTTTTTTTTTTTTTTTTCAGGCTTCTGATTGGCCAACATGGCTTTACAGTTAGGGTTATATCGCCGCCTGTTGGTTTGGCATGCTCTCAACTGAGGATTTTTTATTTTTTTTTAAAGACCGGAGGAGAAGTACCTGTGTACGTGTGGACCAGGCCTCAGGCTCACAAAGGGCACTAGATGAAGAGAAGTTATTTCAGAGTACCAGCTGTGTGTTAGGGTTTCCTCCAGGTCAGAGGAGGGATGGCGGCGTTGGCGTCGCAGTAAGAATCGCTGCTCTCAGGGTCGGCAGGTAGAGCCTGCTTCTTCTTCTCCTCCTTCTCGCTGTCTGTGTCGTCCAGCGTCAGTGTGTTGAGAGAGGTGGACTTCCTGTGAGCAGAGAGAAGAAGAGGGAGATTAATGTATCTATAGCCTCTGCTGCTGCCTATCTTTCCATTCGAGTCACAGAGCTAAGCTTCAGTTTTTCTGAAAGGTAAACCTCTGGTGATCTTTGTAAAATGCATTTAACTCTTGGTTAAATCATCTCATGACAAGGTCCTTTCCGTTGCTGTTCTGGACCTTTCGATCTTATCACAGTATCTTCCTCAGCAGATGCCCGAATGTTGTGTTGTTTCCATGGTCAGCAATTAACTATAACAACTTTTTGTCCATATTGGCTTAAAGAAAACTGATTTAAAATGCCCATATTAATAATAATTTGAACAGCTACACTTAACGGCATGTGCTGAAATTGTTCTGCTGCTTTTTCAAACTCACGTGTGGATCTTAACATCCTGTAGGAGGTATTTTAAAAACCCTACCACACTCTCACCATCTGCATTACAAGAAGTGTCAAAGAGTTTTATATTGTTTACCACATTGTAGCTGTACTTCCTAATCCACACAAAGACAGTAGCTGGAAATTACTTATCAGTTAAATCTATAATGATGCGTTGTTACGTTCCATTATTGAATACAGTACTTTCTTGTGTTTGGAATAGGAACTACAGAAACAGAAATCTTAGTTGTGCAGTGGACAGAATAATGTTTAATCCAGATGGTCAGAGGAGTCTGTCTTAAAAGGAGTGGTGACCTTTTGCTCCACATCTTTTCCAGCTTCTCAAAAATCAACACAGGATTTTCTTTGAGAAAAACTGAGGCTCAGCTCTGTGACTAAATGTGACTGTAATAATACATGAGGAAGACACTGGAGTGAGCTTTTACTCCACTGTACAGTACTGGCCTCTCTCTCTCTCTGTTCACTCATGTTTGTAGCTGTGGTGTGCTGACTAGTTGTTGTTTGATATCTCCAGGGTCAGACTGGAGACAGATGGTGGAAGGAGATTTTCTGACTGTGCTCCAAAACTCTGGAACAACCTTCTGCTGGAAATCAGGTGAGAAACCTGTGTCCTCTTTTTCTAATTGGCTTCTAAAGGATTTGCTCATATTTTCTCAAGTCTATTTTGATAAATAGTCATGTGTCATATGTGCAACCAGTTATATCTAACTAATAGTAACTCAGTCTAATCCAACAGTCCTGTAATAAATCCTCCGTGTTTTTCAACTGTATGATTCATCTGGACGATGTACAGTCTGTGGTGCTGTTGAACTGTGTTAGAGGTGATTCTATTATTAACCTGCCATCCTCATTGATATAAACTGGATGGACAAAATAATAGAATCACTTGTCAGTATAGTTCAACAGCACCACGAACAGCAGCCTCCAAAATCATCACACAGCTGAATCATCGCCTCTCTACAACAGCTTCAACACAAACTGAACATTATAACCTTCATGAAGGAGGATTACATGCAGACTCACTGTATTACACTACATTACATTTAGTTAGGTAGATCTAATAAACTGGCAACTGAGTGTATGTTAGGAGAGCTATTGGTCGCTGTAATCCTTCCTCCTGTCCACACTGACCCTGTAGTGAATCCTTTACAGCTGTAAAAGACAATCCACAAGCCTCATTCTAAAGTTAATCCAAAGCTAAGACGAAGCTTCTTCTTTTGAAGTATGAAATTCCCTCTTCATGTGTCCCCGGAGAGTTTCCTCGCTGAGTCACAAAGAAGGGATATGTCCTAGTAGTTGCTGGTGTTGTGTCAAAATCTGTTTCCCTTGTTAATGTGTGGTTCCCTTTAACATATCCTGACCCCAGCCACAAGGGGGAGCACAACTAGAAACACTGACATGGGCAGAGACATCAAAGACAACTGAAGCCACATTATAGATTTGGGTCTAACTTGACATTTTGTGCAGAAAGAGCTGAGAAAGTTGTTCATTTAGTCGTGGTCATGATCACAGCAACTGATCTCTCTTTCAGCATACATATGTCATTTCACTGTTACAGTCCATCCTTTGACTTCATTACTTTTATTCTAGTAAAACTATATAATGTATATTTACATTATACACATTATAATGTAAAGTTGCCAGTTTAATAAGGACATTGAACCAAACGTAATGAGATTTTTCCTCCTGAAAATGTTTGACAGGTTTGATTCAACTTTATGTTGAAGTGTGTAGTTTGAGGTAGTGTTTCACTGTATTGTGGTAAAGTGAGAAGTACAGTACATCTGATATTTAGTCGGCCCTGTTAATATCAGGGGTAGAGGGAGACTAAGTGTATGTATGTGTAATGACATACAGTTCATCAGAAACACAAACTGTAGCTGCCAACATGACCAGAAACTGGAACCAACACTTCTCTAAGACAGTTTTAACAAAAACTGAACATTAAAACCTTCATGAAGATAGATGTTAGTGAAGGGCTGTTGTATTAGACTGCATTAGTTTTTAGCTAGATGTACCTAATAAAGTGGTAACACAGCACCAACTATTGGCCACAATCTACCTCATTCAAACCTTGAGTCCTTCCAGTTTGTGGTCATTTCCACACTTCCAGCAAGAACAAAGCAGTGTTGTTCATCGTGTGTGTGTGTGTGTGTTACCTGTCTTTGCTCTGTGTGATGAGTCTCCTGCAGGTCTCCATCTGGACATCCAGCCCTCTCTTCATTGAACACATCTCCATGTACTCATGCAGGTGACGGTTCATGTCACTCTTTGCTGTGGCCAGTTCCAACTGAAGGAAAACACAAATCCATCAACACTGATATTATCACTATTAATACACTAAAAGCTGTCTCTGTTCCAGCAATAACTACTTCAACTATATACATCTCGTATCAGTGTGACTGTGAACATATTTGTCCTCATAACATAATAAATCCAGTGCCTCACCTCTATCTGATCGATGGTGTCCTGGTATTCCTTCTCTCTGGATTTGAACAGCGACTCTGTGTCTTTAATCACTTTCTCGATGGACTCCTCCTGCTGCTGCAGCTGGATACAGTCAGTGTGTGTGAGGGGTAAAAAGAGGAAAGATAATAAAACACTTTGAAATCACACTAACATAACTGACTTGTAAATTATTAACATAAAAATATAAACCAAAGCATGTGTAGGAGTGGGCTAAATACAGCCCTGATAATACGCAAACACTCAAACAAACTTAAATACTATTCTACAAAGGTGTGCGGTGGTGTTTTTTGCAGGGCAATTGATTTTTAAATGCCTTCATGTTACTTTGTCCACTTCTTATTGTGCTAATGAACAGGGGCAGTGCACAGAAACATTACTATACTGTACATGTGATCATCACATAAACTAACCCATAAATATCAATAATTGTTACAGCTGCAACCAATGATTATTTCCATAATCTATTAATTGGAAAAATTATTTAACACTTTGGTCTTTAAATGTCAAAAAACAGTGGAAAAATGTCCATCACAGTTTCCCACAGTGACATTTTAAATCACTTGTTTGTTGTTTCGTTCAACCAAAACCCCCAAACTTTGCTGTAAATTGATGTAAGAAGATGCAACCAGTAAATATTTGGTGTTTTTCTTTGATTAATGACTTAATTAAATTATCAAAATTGAAGATTTATTCACAATATAAAATCAATTGATCATTTTGGCTCTAATAATAATAATAATAATGTTAACGATACAATTATTTAAGTTGAATACACACAAGCAGAGCAATTTAAAAAAAAAAAGGTTCAAATCAGCCAGAACCAGTGAAGACACTTGAATCTTTAATCTGTTGTTTCCCTGCAGCGTCTCTCCGCTCCTCATTTATCTGGTCATTAGCTTCCTCGTCTTATCTGGTTAAAAACAGCTTACAGGTTACTAGGATAGACTGGAGCCGTCCGCGGCATCAGACTCAACTCAACAACAAAGGCAACCTACTGTTGACTGTTTTAACAGACTAAAAACAGTTCATCCACCATCAGGTCAGCCAAGTGGGACAAAGTAAAACTACCCCTCACGGGAAAATAGATCTGCACAGAACTGAATAAGGAACACTTCAAACTGCAGACAGACTATTTGATGGCATGTTTCATTCAATCATAATTAATTGCAGCCCAACCATGCAGCCATGTAACTCTAAAAGTGTTTGCTCTTTATAAGAGGATTAAATCTTCTTCATTAAATCTTTCAGCTTTCCTTTTAGCTATGTTTGTGAGAATGTGTGTAAGTGTGTGTGTGTGTGTGTACCTCTCCCTGTGTTTCTCCCAGTGAGTATCCAGAAAAATCTTCCCACAGCAAGAGAGTTTCTTCAGTTTCCTCCCAGGCCAGACTGTCACAGTCATCCTCAAACTCACACTCCCTTCTTGACAACACACACACGTACACATTTTAGATGTATCAACAACACAGTGTTTTAGTGTTTGTATTTTGATCATCTTTGGCTGAAAATGACTTACAGCTGATTCAGCATCTTCTGCATCTGCTCGTTAATCTGATTGGCCGATGTGCTACACGACTCCTCGTCTTTACCCCCGCCTCCCTCGCTCTCAGACATGCTCAGTTCATCTCCGTCCCCGCCCTTTGCTGACTGGCCACTATGTTTCCTGGCCCGGCGGTTCAGAGTGGAGGGGGGCGTGGCCACCTGCTGGAGGAGGGAGGTGTGAGAACGGAGACAGTTTTATTTATAAAATGAAAGATGATTTTTTTTTAATATATTCATCGTCACAGACGAACCTGGAACATGTTCATCATGTCCTCGCAGTTCCTCTGCTGGGCCACATCACAGAGGCGGGCGGTGATGTCGATGCGGCGGCAGATGTCCATGTCCACTTTCATGGCCTTTTCCTGGATCTTACTGTCCAGATCTGACAGGTTCTGCTGGAGGGACAACATCCCTCTACTTTAATGTAATTACAATAATCTGAAATAACCTCACCTTCGTGAGGTTGTCAGGGTGCAAACTATTCTGTGGTAACAGGAAACCATAGATAAGAAGCTTTTTTTCAGCTTGTGAAATCTTTCATTTAAATGACTGAAAACATAAATATTTAAATATTCATGTTTAAATTTATGAAATCCTTAATGAGTAAACAAAAGATATTCTGGAGCCATTTCTAAACCTTCCTGTCAGTTTCAAACCTTTTTCATTCTTGGACTTACGTTGCTGACGAGACCTTTGAAGAGAACGAGCTCGGCCTTCAGCTGCTTCACCCGAAGAGCCAACTCGTCCTGACACACCTCACTCTCCTGCAGGTCCTGCAAACAGATAACATTGGTGTTTGCCATAATAAATATTAGAGTTGTCTGCACATGAATGTAACTGTGCTGTCAGTTTTACCATCAGAAGGTTCATGGATTAATCTCAGTCTCCTGACAATATTTTCTGCTTTACCTATCACCAACAATCAAAATACAAAAATATGAATATTTTGAGTTTGGTAAAGATGTTTAGGACTTCACCTCAAGGCGGGTAGAGATTTAACATTTGCTGAAAGATGGTTATATATCTTATTATATTCTTGTATATAGCAATGTAAAACCTGGAAACAATTTTCTTTTCAAGCTGGTATGCAGAGCAAATGTCATTTTTTTTAAATAGAGAGGATGTGGCTATCATTGAAAAGCAATTTCTACATGGCAATGCTGAAGCAAAATTATCTGATATTATGAGATCATTTGAGTCATATAGTTGTGACTGCTCTTTAAATAACATGGTTGACAATTTCAACAAAACCTTGCCATCTGTTCTGAACACTGTTGCTCCACTAAAGGTTAAGAAGGGGACGACTGACAGAATCTCCCCATGGTTAAACAGTAACAGTGTTAATGAGATCAAGAGAACCTGTCGGGCAGCTGAAAGAAAATGGAGGAAAACTAGACTCACAGTTCACTGTAATATATCTGGGAAGAAGCCATGACTGCCTATAACAGAGCAGTACGCCTGGCAAGAAAAGATTACTTTTCCAAGATTATTACAGAGAACGCTGGAAATTTTAGAATATTTTTCTCCACTATTGACCAGCTAGTCAACACTGCCCCCACCCCCCCGCAGTTCTCTGCAGCAAAATGTGAAGAACTGGCCTTGTTCTTCAATAACAAAATTCCTTCAATCAGAGCCAGTATTACTGCTGATGTTAACACAGATGCTCTCAGCAAACCCTTTAAACCATGGAAAAAAATCACCTGTATTACTTCATCTGAGCGTTCAGGGACTGTCACTGAGTGTAAGTCCTCCATCTCATGTATTGACCCTGTACCAACAGCATTTTGTTAAGTTGTTCAACTGTTTTTTGAGTCATGTACTGAACAGTATTAATATATCTCTTCAAACTGGTATCTTTCCAGATGCCTTCAAAACAGCTGTTGTAAAACCATTACTAAAAAAACCCCCCAACCTAGACAGTAATGTTCTGAGCAGCTAGTCTGATATCTAACCTTCCATTCATTAGTAATAAGATACTTGAAAAGATAGTTTCAGTGCAGATTAACTCCTTTCTGAAAGGAGTTGAGACAGAGAGCAGTGAAACTGCTCTGACTAAAATAATCAGTGACCTCAGACTAAACTCTGATGGAAATAAGGTCTCAGTTCTTTTTCTTAGACCTAAGCGCAGTGTTTGATACGATTGACCATAATATCTTATTCAATCGTCTTGAAAAGTTGGTCGTTCTTTGTGACGCTGTGTTAAACTGGTTCAAAACATCACAGGGAGAAAGTTTTACGTCAGTCTTGGAGATCATGTGTCTGAGAAACACGACATCTGCTGTGGGGTTGCTCAAGGGAGCTGCCTTGGCCCATTATTATTCTCACTGTACATGCTGCCACTTGGTGACTACACCATAGAGCACAATGTATGTTTCCATAGTTACGTAGATGATACACGACTGTACATCTCTTTAAATCTGAGGTTACAAGTCTTCAGCTTTATCTTGGATTCAGATCTAAGCTTCAAGTCCCACCTTAGTAACATAGTTAAAGAATGGTCAACGACGCTGAAGGTTTATTCATGCTTTCATCTCAAGCTGACTTGATTACTGCAATCCACTTTTTACTGGACTCCTGAAAAAAACCACCGAGAGACTTCAGCTCATTCAAAACTCCTCAGCTCGGCTGTGATCCAGAACCAAGAGGAGAGAGCACATCAGTCCAGTTTTAGCTGCTCTGCACTGGCTTCCTGTTAGAAACCTGTTAGATATCAGAGAGGCCAGCTCACCAAGTATTTTTAAAAGAAAGCTCAAAACTTATTTCTTCACTTTAGCCTTTAACTAGCTCTGAAATTTTGCGCTTTGCATCACATTTATGCACTGCTCAGCATTTTTAAATGTCTTCTGATTTATTGATTTATTATCGTATCTCATTTAGATCAATGTTTTTATGTTCATTTTATGTATTTTCTTTTCATGTGAAGCACTTACTACACATCATTTCTTTGTTGTAAAGCACTTTGCGGTACATTTCTTGTATGAAAGGTGCTACACAAATAAAGTTTATTATTATTATAATCATCATTGCCACATTCTCCACATTATTTGTTGTGTTGAAGGGAAAAGAAGACAGGGAGGAACTAGATGTAGGTGGGAAAAGCTGATTAAAATAGTATTTTAGTCTGTTCACTGACCACTTAAACCAAGGTAAGATCACCTATGTGCACTCTATATGTAGGTTGTAGTAATATTACCTCCTCCAGTTCTGCCACCTTCTCCTGCAGGTCCACTCTGGCTGTGTACTCCTCCTCCCATCTAGAAACACACAAAAATGAAAAATATTGATGAAATATTCATCAGGTTTGGGGCAGAACATCTGTTTGTAATCTTGTAGAGCTACACAAAGATTTCCCATGTGTTTTACATTTATTAATCAAGGAAAGGTTTGTCACATTCATTCATAAACACACAGATATTTCAATTAACACCTCAGTCTTCTATTCGTGAAAGACGTGACACTGATTGAAGCTGCAACTATAATTTGGCTCACAGACAATGACGACTGAACCTCTTGCATCACATGAACATGACTTCATCTTCAGATGGATGAAGAGACGGGTGAAGAGTTTCAGCCTGTGATTGGTGCAGCTGCATGACCTTCCTCTCTGCAGCTTTAAGACAGGACCCACCACGGTTACCTGACTGACCTACACTGTGCAGCATCAAGGCTCCTCCCACCATCACCAGTATTACTCAGCATGAGTTACATAAGGAGACCATGCAGCGTGCATGTAGAGCATGTGCAGCACGAAGACCACGCAGCAGCACCCAGTCAGTCACTATGGAGAAGACATAAATAAACAGAAGGAGTGGAGAGACAGAGAGACTGCAGGTCTACTTCAGGACTAGCAGTAACACAGAACTGCATCTTTTATCTGTGTTTTGGGATTTTCTCTTCATTGTGATGTGACACATCTAATCTGTAACACTAATATGAACTCAAAAATATTAAAAGGGCCAGTGAACTAAGAAATCTCCTTTTATTACAGTGACAACATCCTCAGACCCCAACCCACCACTGAGGATCTAAGAATGTCAGTTTTTGATCAATCAGCTGTTTAGTTTTCTGCTGCTTCACTTACATGCTTCAAATGGTTTTGAACAGCTGCTGAATTTGGCTTTAGACTGAACTGATACATTTTCTTAAAACAGCACTCCACCAATTCACCAAAAAAGGGGGTGTGGCATAATGATTGACAGTTGGGCAAGGGTATGGGCAGGACCTCGATAGTGCGGCTCCATCCCTTGATCACTACTTTGCAGACTTTGGCTCCAAATGATGTCACAAGCGCAAGATGGCAGCATCAGGATATTCCTACTTCATTTTTGTACACTGAGAGAAAATTGAGATGTGTCGGCCATATTTATATACAGTCATTGGTTCGGTCAGAGATTGGGACGTGTCATGCTAGTGCCAGATGATGCGGCAGAGATGTGTGGGCTACAGAGGTCTGGTAATCTCACTTCTTTCTAACATCATCTGATTTTTGTTCATTTTCAAACTTGTAGTCTTTGAACACAAGGCTTTATACAACTGTTTTCATCTGCAGGCGTAGGTCCCAGAGCCTGGAATCAGACTTTGTTGTGTAAAATTGGTGGCGTTCCCCTTTTTAAACACCATCATCACATCCTCTCAGCTGTCCTGGCTTCCTCCCATTCTTGTATCTTTTTTGTCCTTCACACTAACACTACTCAGCTCAGCTGCTATAGCAGCTAAATTATGACATCATGTCTCTGGTGAATGACCTCAGATTAAATCATCCTTCCTAATTTGGGAGATAAACTACAGGTCATGTGTTGGTTACGTACATTGAGTGAAACGTGACTCCATGCAGAGTTTTGCTGGTTATAGTGATTAGAAACCACCAGCTGTGTCGTAATTAGGAGTATTTAACTGAAAGTGGTGTAATTGCAGCTACAGTGTGAGCAGAGCCAGAGAGAAAGAGACACTCAGAGACAGATATCATAGCCAGAGAGAGAGTGGGTGTCACAGTGGGAGAGCTGATGTCCTTGTAGCTCTGATCGGTTTGTCAGTCTCAACACGTGGCTCTGCAGTGAGGCTGCTGGCTGTCATTGTGTTTGAGCAGCTGGTTTCTCTGTATAAGCGATGACGTCATAGCTGCTGGATGATGCAAACACTTATTAAAATGTAAAAGTGTCATAATATCTCTATAATAAGTAAATCACATTGTTACACACTGTGACCGTTTTATTTGGGAATTTTCCAGGCTGCTGCACAGCGCTCATGAGCCATGATGTCAGCAAATTAGGACATCATGGAGAGGGTGATGTGAATTTTAACTGTCCTCTGCAGACACAGCAAAGCACTTTGTTGTGGCAGCTGTTTGCCAATGACTATGTTCAGAGCCAGGAGATTTTGTCTCCTACCAACAATCAATGCTGATTTCCTTCATCTTTCCACAAGCCAAGTGGTTTTAGTTGCTTAACCTTGATCAGACCTTAATCATAAGGGGTGTTGATCAGAGAAAAATATATGGTAATGTGTCAATTTAATAATTCTTGCATTAAAAGGAGCAGTCTAACATTTTGGGAAAGGCTTATTGTCTCTCTGAGAGTTGATGAAAAGATTAATACCACTGACTAAGATGCAGCCAGGCGCTTAGCCTACCAAAAAGACTGAAATGAGCAGAAAACAGCTAGCCTGACTGTCAAAAATACATTACATTACAGCTCACTTATTAAGACCTTTTCCCATTCATTCACAATAATGTAAATACCATAAGATGTAGTTTTACAGGGAGTTGTGTGCTATGGTTCCAGCCCAATTAAAACTGCAGCTGTAAATTAGCTAAGCTAAGCTAATCACCTCCTGGCAAACATGAGGGTGGTATCAATCTTTTCATCTAACTCTTAGCAAGAAACTACTTCTTCTTTAATCATAAGGGTAGTGTATCATTAAATTATATGTTTCATTCATTTCATTTTTGGTGTGAGGGACTTTTTGGGTGAATTTAGTGTTTACCGTTTGAATATGAATCCACCAAAAATAATCTAATAGAATAGCTCTCAAAATACAGGGGTGATGCTTGCAACTGCAGCATCACACAAATAACAACTGTGACCAAAAACTAAAGGAGACCTGGACTATCCTTCACAGGCATGATCAACAAGCTAATAATAGCACTGCTAACAGGCAACGCGGGCAGCCTCTTTGTATCTATATACAAGGTGACACTGTGGTTTTCTGGTGTTATCTCTCACTCTCACACACACACACACACACACACACACACACACACGACATCTATCACAGGAGATGATACTAGAAAGCTGAGAGAGTTTACATTTGCCTGTTTCTCCATTAGTGGTGGAATGAGCATTTAAAGACTTTGGAGACAAGGCAAGAGTATGTGTTTATCTGTAGTACCTGGCCAAAAGTATGTGGACATTTGCTCTGACCTCAACCCCATTCAACACCTTTGAGATGAAATGGAACGCCGAGTGCGAGCCAGACCTCGTCACCCCACATCAGTGTTAGATGATGTTCTTGTGGCTGAACTGAACTGGAGCAGATCCCTTTAGCAAGTCAACACCTGATGGGAAACCTTCCCAGAAGCGTGGATGTTATTATAGCAGCAGATCAATGTTTGGCTGTCCACATACTTTTGACCATGCTTTGGCCAAACAAAGCTTCAATGAACTGAACTGAACTGAACTGAGAGCAGGAGGGTTATTGCAGCTTTGTGGTTTGGGGGTGAAAATGATAATGATGATGTTAATGATGATGTCAGCGCCTGGCTGACGCTGCAGAGCGTCACATGGGATGGGGGTGGGGGAGTGGGGGGTGAGATGGATGAGGAGTCAGCAGCAAACAATTTAAGAGCAAGAAGGAGAGAGAAAGACAGAGAGAAGAAGAGAAAGACATTTTAGAGAAGAAAGAGGGAGAACATGACCGTATAGATACAGAGAGAGAGACAGATAATGAGACACAAGAGAAACACTGACGGAGACAGAGGGTAAAAGACAAAATGGAGAGGAGACAGAGGTAAAGATGGCAGACTGGGTGACATCACTGTTGGCGGTCACAGGCCAGTGCTGCATTGCAGGCACTGGGACAAAACCCAGCAGGGAGGAGGAAGACAAGGAGGAGAGAAAGAAGGAGGGAGAAATGACGGAAGGAGAGAGAGACAAAAAGAAGAGGACCAAGACGGAGGAAAGGAAGAAGGGGTGGATGGGGGACAGCAATGTGAGGGATATCATATGGGAGAAAAACAACAGCTCATGTTGAACCTCTCCCCAGACAGTTCCTCCTCCCCTCAGACAAACACTTGCAGTCACAGCAAAATGAACGCTGGACTCCTTTAACCTTACTGGAAATGTCTCTATTACAGAGCTGCAACATGAGAGGTCGTTTGTTCTGGGACATATTTTCCCCACTGTCAATATTCCTCAACATGAACACAGGGCCTCAAGCTACCACTGAGAACATTGAGGTGATGTTCTCAGTATGTATTTTTCTGTTTCTGTTTATTTTTCTTTTTTATTTGGAGGTTTTAGGAGGTTATAACTTACAAATAAAAACTGGTGGGTATATCTAACAGTTAATTCCAGAGTTTTTAGGTACAATAAGTTTAAATTTCACAAATTTTTGTTAGTAAGAAATATATAAAATTCAATTCAAATAATAATCATAAAAAAATGTTGGTTTCTGGTCAAAATTATCTAACAGTGGTGGTGGATATTGTCCTGCTGAGGATACCACGTTTGTTACATGGCTATCAGTTTAATTATTTTAACTTTGTTCTTGAGAAATGCAGTTTTTTTCCCCCAATCATTATAGTACAGTAGACGTCTCTACAATGAGCCTCAGCTACCATTGCTCTGGAGAGAAGGTCAATCAGAGGTATAAATCAAAGCTGGAGCAAGTTTAAAACTCTTGAGTGTTAAACAGCTTGTACCTTTGACTTTATCAAATAACCTAATGTTTTCTAACACAGTTGCTCATCTAATGTACTGATGATTCAGTCAGGACATGGAAGAGTTGAATTGTATGGCATCAGTCACCTCACACTGACAGAAGACAAAAGAATGGGACATTTAGTTACGGAAGCCTGGACACCTCAAATCGAACTCCCACTCCCCTACAATAATCTCATGTTGTGAAATGAAAACTACAGCCATCAGTGTACAAAACACACACATCTGACTTGTCCAGGTGCAGATTTACTGCTTCCCAAGACTTACAGAATTTTCCCTTTAAATCTTTATTACATTTAGAGAAGAGTCCAAATCGGCTCTTATCAGGTGCAGAAGTTTAAGAAACAGAAAGGACAGTTTCTAAAGGGAACAATGCTGCGAGTCTTTGGAAAGTGAAATAAAAACTACAACACAGGTTTTTGAAGTGTCATCCCTCCTCACTTCAAATCAAACAAACAGTTCTCCTTGTGTGAATCATTCTGCCTCACGATTAAATCACATTAAGGAATCCACTCAAGATACTGTTTAACTCCAGAAATTACTCAAGTTCACTTTCATAGCTTTCAAACGTGTAAAACTTGAATATAGTTTAGTGCAGCACTAAAATTTAAAGCAGTCTTTGAACAAGATACAAGTCAGAGTGTGAGTTGTTGCTGTTCAGTAAAACATCCTGCTGCTTCTGAAATCGATGGGACTGAAGCTCTGTCTTGCAGTGTCGTCCTGCCTCAGCAGCTGAAGCACAAAGTGGTGAGGTCAGTGCTTTTTAGCAACACACAGCAGTGAAGGACTGTGTGTTAATGTGTGTCAGAAAAACACAAAGAGGCTGCATGCTGTAGGACACTAAAGACTAAAAACAGTTTAAAAATTGCCTCTTTTTCTACACGTTTTACACTAACACCACTTTTACACTATACCTCTGCACAAATAATAATATTCCTTGAGGCTAAATATTTTTGTTTCTTTTACATGCTGTTCCTTTTAACCTATCATGTAAGATCCTGCTGTTAAACAACAGTAAAATTAGAAGGTGAAGGCTCAAAGTGATTAAGGTCCTAAAATGACTTGACTGCTGGTGTAAGACTCTGCTCCTGACAATAATTTTCATTATCTATGAATTTGCTAATAATAATTTGGCCAATAAAGTTTCAGATAATAGTCAAAATGCTCTTTATAATTTCCAACAGCCAAAGGCTACATCTTTAAATGTCCTGTTTTATCCAAAACCCCAATATATTCAGTTTTCTATCATATATGACAAAGAAAAGCATAAAATCTTATATTTAAGAAGCTAAAATGATTATTTGATTATCAAAATAGTCACTGATTAATTTTCTGCCAATCATCTAATCAATTAATGGAATAATTGTTACGTCTTTATAGGGGTTGATATAGCTGTAAGAGTGAAATGCTTAAATTTCATAACTGTCAAATATTACATAAATTCCAATATTTTACAGTAAGATGACTATTTAGCTTAAAAATGAACAGAATCAATAGTCCATAGTTTATGTCACTATAACAATACACACTATACACCCTGCAATTAATTTGAGAAACTGATAAATCATGATGAGAAATGTCAAAGTGCTTCATCACACTGAAGCAAAAACACATGCACCTCCAGTTTTTTTTTTTTATGATGCCTCAATCTTCTTCCTGCAAATATTGAAGACACTTATTGTGAGTCCCTTTGGACAAAAGTGTCTGATAAATTAATGAAAAAAAAAGTCCTGTAAAGCAAATCTTGCAATAAAACAGTCCTGCTCACTGATTTGCAATCGTGTCCTCAACGACCCAACACAATAGGGGACAGAGACAGTAAAGACTAAGGGAGAGCTTCTGCTGCATAAAATATACGACCAATTCCTTGTGGGGTGACAGATTATTATCACCACATCATCCAACCCTTTGCAGTATCATGTTTCAGCTGCTTAGAGGGATCAATGAATAAAGCTTTCTGTGCCAAAATACACTGGGGAAAAGAAGCCAGCTTAGTACTTGGGAGGGACATTAGCTTGCTCAATAACATACATTCATAGACACTATAAATGTATAGTATTTTAGGTTGTTTTTTTTTTTTTTTACAGTAGTTTTTTACATTATGCATCTGTTTTGTACTTTATTTTGCTGCTTTCTCTCTCATTTAAATTCCTGACATGGAATCAAAAACATTTTATAATCTTATAGACTATCATTGTCTTCACCAGAATTTATTATGTACTGACTTACAAAGTGCATGAACTTACCAGAATTATTATTTACATTATATTAAATAAATCAGCTGCACTGGTGTCTTGTTAGTTTCAGCGTCAGTACAACTCAGACTGACTGGTGGTTTCATATCTCTCCCAGAAAAGGAGCTGAGCACATCCTTCATAGTGCATTTATCTTTTACAACCTCCCCTCTTAAGTCTGCACATCTCCAGTCTTTTCCCTTGGCACAACACATCATCCAGAAAATATTATGACTTTCAAACAGTGATCATCATAATGCAACCTGACACTTTGGTTTCTTGCTTTCTCCTGTGGAAAACTCCTCACATCTATTTGAAGCATCACAGACACACAGGTGACCAAGATGATGCATTTTACATACTGACTTTACATGTCAGCAGTCACTGCATAAAATCATGCAGGCCAGAAGCTTCAGTTAATGTGGCCCCTTAATACCAATCGATCATGCTTTGAATGCCACAGCCTTTCTGAGTATTGTTGCTGACTATGTGCTACCCGTTATGGCCACAGTTTACCATCTTCTAATGGATATGAACATGACAGTGAGTTCAGTGAACTTCAGTGGCCTCCCTAGTCATCACATCTGAATCCAGTAGAACACCTTTGGGATGTGGTAAAACAGGAGATTGGCAGCATGAGTGTGCAGCTGACAAATCTACAGAAATGATGTGATGCAGTCATGTCAACATGGAGCAGAGTCTCAGAGGAAAGTTTCCAAAATCTTGTGGAATCCATGCCACAAGGGAGCTGACGCTATTTGGAGAGCAAAATATTGTAAGGTCTCCCTAAAAAAACTGCTTGGTGAGTGTATATTAGTGGAAAAATATTCTTATTGTGAAATCACTTTCAGCCATATCACACAGTCCTGGGATATGACAAGAGAATGAAGCTCTGAACAGGTTTAATCTTTCCACCCTGGGAAACATACATCTCTGCAGAAAACACAAAATTCTCCAATAGCACAAAACATCAGCAACGTGAGTGCCAGAAGCATACATCATCCAGGACTGCAGCAATGAAAAATAAATCAAAACAATCTATAACCTGCTGATAAAAATGTTTAAACAGTCCTCACCTTCTCTTGTACTCGTCTCTTTCTCTCTTAACCTTGGCGAGCACGTTGTACAGGGCCCTGATCTCCGGTGTGATGGTGTCGATCTGGACCCCGACACCATCCGGGTGCGTCCAGGAGACACCAGGCCCCGTGACGCACGACTCCCTCCCGGTGCCAAACCTGCGAGTGTGGTTGAAGGACCAGATCGTCCCGGGGAGGAAACGTGGCGGAGGAGGGAGGGTGTTGTTGGTGTTAGTCCCGGTGTCAGCAGCGTATTTCTCATTGATGTTTGTGATGGTTTTGAACGGGTCGCTGGGACTCAGAGTCGGGCTGATGGAGAATCCGGACGTGGTGAGGTTGGAGTTTGAATCAGTGGAGACTGCGATCGGGTTGAAGTTGCTCCCCAGCAGGTATTTGTTGTCAAAGAGAGGAGGAGGGTTCAGGGTTGGAGACAGAAGGCCGCCCGGCAGGTAGGCCGAGTTGTTGGCATTGTGGAGCGGGATGAGGCCCGGTCTGGCTGGGATAGGCCCAATAAATCCAGTCTGGACCCCCATCTCTTTGGTCAGTGGCTTCTGGTGTCCATCTCCTCCGTTGTTATCCTCAAGAGCCTGCTGCAGCTGCTTCTCCAGCACCTTGTTCCTGCGCTCCAGCTCATGCACTTTAGCCAGAAAGCAGCGGAAGCGCAAGTTCAGGGTCTTCAGCACGCTGATGTTGGATCCCAGGTCGTTACGCAGCGCAGTGGCCGCTGGGGGCACGCGGTGCAGGGGGTTGCTCAGGTGCAAGTAGGCGAGGCCCGATGGTGGCAGAGTGCCCAGGTCCAGCCCGGAAAACCCATCAGGCCCAAACCCGGTGTGATCCCCGAGGAAGTAACCTGGCTCCGGGATGGCGGAGTCGGTCTGGCCTGTCATCTGGTGGTGGTGCTGCTGCGGTGCCAGAAAGCCGCTCTCCCCCAGGACCGGATTCATACTCGAGTAGGAAAATCTGAAGTGCTCGAAATCCGGCATGAACCCAGACTTCTATGGATTCAGCTCGGCAAGTAAGTCCGTATAAAATCTGTTTACTGTAAGGAACCAGAATCAGGCCCAGCAGCCTCTTTCCAGTCCTCCTCCTGATTTCACCTTTACGCAGAGGAGCTGTGGGCGAACAGTCAGATGATGCGGTTAAAATGATGCTTTATGGGCCTAAAAATTACAAGACAATATTGCAGTAAACCCACTCTAGCCTCTAAAGTCGCAGTTACATCCTTGGTCCCTGCAGCAAAATGAGAATACAGAGTTTACTTTTACGCAGGACTAAAATCTAGGCGACAGATCGCAGTGGCGACGCGCAGTCATAAAACTGTTTGTTCTTATCCTTTGAATAAAGCGTTAAGGAGATAATTAATGAAATGTAAGCAACGTACCTGGAGGAAACGTCAGAGGAGGAAACACTAAGTTTGGCACAAGATACAGATATTGAGGTGAAATCAGTCTGAGCAGAGTCGAGCTGAGGTGCAGCAGAGCTCAGGAATAAACACAAGTGAATGACTGCGGCTGTAGGTTACCGTACTGACTGTGAAAGAGGAGCACCGGGCAGTTTACCTACCGTAACAACCGTAGTAGAGGGGCACGTGTCTGAGGGCGATTATTATGGGAACTTAAACCTTGTTGTGTTTATCCTGTATACATAGCCAAATGTGTTTAATGCCTATTGTTAGCTAACGTTAACTGTACTCATTATGAGACCCTGTTGTTATTTACCGGGAGGCGTCCAGTATTCAGTTAACCTTATTTTGAAAACACACATATACATAACTGTAAACTACTCACTTTGCACTTTAAGAATAACTCAAGTTAAGTGAGTTAATTAGCTAGTTAGCATCGCGAAACTGATGGTCGCTGCAGTGATTTAACTAGCGGCACAAGCTAACGTTAGCTAACTTTAGCTAGTTGTAACGGCTGACTTCGAAATGTCAACTAATCTCGTTTAACTGAGGAGGAGATGGTTCCGGGAAATCTGACGAAAAGGCCGCCAAAACTGACATACCTAACAGTGAAAACAGTAGAAATTATCAACAGCACTGCTCTCGCTCTCCATGTAAATACAACTGTGAAGCTCGGTGCACACCTACAAAGTCCTCAACATCATGGCGGACCCCATTCACCCTAACCAGACCCACCCACCGCCTCTTCACCCTCCTAATGACTGGAGGACTACGGTCTTCTCCACCGGGCTCTGCCGCAGCTTCTTCCCTCAAACTGCGGAGCTCAAACTTTTTGGTGTTTGTATCCGTTATGTTGGTTTTTAGTATAAATCTTTTAGTTGTAGTTTAGAATTATTCTTTATTATGTCCTATGTTGCAACGTGTTCCATGAATTTGATTTTCCTGTATGTTGACATGCATTTGTGGAAATGACAATAAAGCTGAACTACCCAGAAAATACCCCACTCACTGCCCACATATCTTCTGTTTATTTTTCTTGGTGTCAGGTTAACTTACTGTCCACCTGCCTGATTATATATATTATATTCTGCCTATTTTCCCAGAAACCAATTTCTCTGCACTAAACTCAGTGTCACTGGGCAGTACAAATGAGACAGATTTATTATGACTCTGGCTGTAAAATACAGCAGGCCTTAGACAGGTGATAAATTAAAGGAAAAGCAATTATAGTAGACTTTGGAAATTGACATCTAACCTGAACACCTGTGCTTCATACGTCGATTTGTCTGCAGAGGAAAAACGTCTATTGTGCTCACTAAACACATTTTGTATTGTATTAACGTTTTCCTACTGAGCTTAAAGTTTTACCTTGCACTGTTATTTACTGTATGACAGTGCAGAACTGACAGTTTATGTAGATCATGGATGTTGTAGATAGAAGGCTATTAGCTAATAAATGTTTCAGCAAGTCAGTTAACAGAAAGGCTATTGAATGAGACAAATGATTTAAAAGAAATTATAAAAGGAGTGACATGTCTCCCCAGAAAACTTACAGTACATCCTGTTTTCCTCTATGGGCTTCAGTCTAAAGTTGGATAAATTAACTGCCCAAATACATTTTGGCCGTTATCCCAGAAATAAATTAAATATACTGCACCAAACAACGTCACTTGTCTGGGCAAGACTAAAATAACTTAGCTTTACGATTCTGGCTGAAAACTGTTCAACAGCCCACTGTTTAAAACTGAATATTTGACCAAATACATACAGGTGCCCTGAATAATTAAGATTTAGGAGTAATGTGTTAAGACCCCCGAGCACCAAATGAGAGAATATCTTTTGAAAGATAATTTCATCCCTTTCATGCCTTCAGTTCCACCAACTTGGAGAATTTATGACATTAAGTATTAATATACAGTATTTGTTTTGTCTTTCAGATATTTCAAGGCTGAAAGCAGCAGAATAGAATGGCGGACACTGAAGGCAGGAGCACCAAACTGTTCCATTTTAACTCTTTCAAAATAAAACAGACCTATTGCCCATAGGGATACACGTTAATTGTGTACAGCATAGCATAACACATGATAAAAACTGCAAGTCTTTCCACAAACTGAGGACTTTATTTTCAGTGCTTAAAAAGGAGCCACTACGCATGTTTAGTGCAACAAGACCATTCAGTACCATACAGTTTAGTGATGGAAAACCATCTGTACAAACACTGTCTGCTGCAGTCCTCACTGCTGAACAGGACAGAACAAAGGTGACTTTGATACAAAAGGGTATTATCATCAGCTAGATGTTTGTCATCGAGGGGTTTGCTCTCGGGACGGATGGCATGGCATCCAGTTACAGGTGAAGGAAGAGGGAATCATGGGAAGGAACGATGAGTCATGACAGGAGACTTTTACTCCTTGGTGAACATGTGATGGACCAGGTCGCACACACGGTTGCTGTAGCCGAACTCATTGTCATACCTGCAGTGGAACAGGGATTGAGGAAGGTTAAAGAGAGAGAGAGAGAGCGAGAGAGAGAGTGGGGAATATGCGATGTTCATGAATGGAAAAACATCTCTCATTAGACAGAAAAACTCTGCAGAACAAGAAAAATACTTAAAAAAAGGCTTTAATTCTCATAATTCAAAATTAAGTGATATCAGCATTTACTCACCATGAAACCAGCTTGACAAAGTTTTCGTTGAGTGCGATGCCAGCGCCGGCGTCAAAGATGGAGGAGTGAGGGTCGCTGTTGAAGTCTGTGGACACAACCTGAGAGGAAAGAGATGAACACAGGTGTTTGTGAATGATGTCTGCAGTGTGTCTACATTGTGTGTGTGAATCTGCATAAGGCATTGTGATGGGTTTAGAGGAATGCTATTTCATGTCTTGTTTGGGCCTGAATACATTAAAATCAGCACATGCTACAGCAAATGAATCAGACAGAGTAATAGATTCAGCTTAAACTAAGTTAGTTCTTAGAAGTGTGCTGCCATCCAGTGGCAGCTGTATAACACCACATACTATCAATAACCTCAACCATCAATTACTTCCTGCTGTTCTTTCTTTACAAGTCTAAAAAACACCTATGATGAGGATCTTGTAGGTATGCGAGTATTTTGTACCTGGTCCTCTGTGTATCCCAGAATTCCCTTCATGGGTCCCTCAGAGGCGGCCTTGATAACCTTCTTGATGTCATCATACTTGGCCTGAAGGAGAAGACATTTCAAATTAAAGCTAATGGGAGGAATTACATCAGACACAAGAATCTGAGGGTTAAATTTTTAAAAATGGCAGCATTAGAATTATCATTTTTGTTTAAAAAAAAAAAAAAAAAAAAAAAAAATTTAGCTTTATTTCAAGCATTTATTAAGCATGTCAAAGTCTAGATAAGAGAATAGTCCTGTAGTGCAAATCTATCTGAACAAGGAAGGCTGGGCTCAGATTTTCTTCTCCATATTTAAAAATGTAAAATCCAGATAAAATGAGAAAAGGTAATCATCAGCTCTATGTTGTTTCGAAAGTAAAGCAGCCTCCTCACGAGAGGTTATATAAAAAAAAAAGTTAATCGAGATACTTACTGGCTTCTCCAGACGGACAGTCAGGTCAACAACAGACACGTTGGGGGTGGGGACACGGAAAGCCATACCGGTCAGTTTGCTGCAGCAACAAGACAATCAGAGTCAGATCCAAAGTAAGACCATACCTCATTTCCTCCACCATGCGAGGGTCAGAGGTCAGGCAAAAAAGCTATACTTTGGGTGTGTCCAATTGCAGAATCTCCAAGTCAAGTCAAGTGCCTTCTTGTGCAGCATATTTCTAGCAACTGCTCTTGTGACAGTGCTCAGACAGACAACCAAAGAAAGTAACCGCGTACCCGTTCAGCTCGGGGACGACCTTGCCCACGGCCTTGGCGGCTCCTGTGGAGGCGGGAATGATGTTCTGGGAGGCACCACGTCCATCCCTCCACAGCTTACCAGAGGGACCATCAACGGTCTTCTGTGTGGCGGTGATAGCGTGGACTGTGCTCTGGAGGGAGCAGACAGGAAGGTACATTTTGAAGACATATTCGTGATCTGGCATGTTTGGTTTCATCAGATGTCAAATCTATTAGCAATAAACTTCTGCTTTAGTTTAAGCGTTTTCCACAGCTAGTCTAAATACAACAAATGGTCAGCTACTGCTAGCTGATCACTGAGCAATCAATGAAGTACGAGTTCTTTACCATGAGACCCTCAACAATGCCAAAGTTGTCATTGATGACCTTGGCGATGGGAGCCAGGCAGTTGGTTGTGCAGGAGGCGTTGCTATGGAGACAAGACAGGGAGTACATATTGGAAAGATAAAAACATCTTTGAAAGCATCCAGATGTTCACATCTGTCCTCAGCAGGTCTGAAAATACTGAACATGCTGCATCACACTAGGAAGTGAGGCAGGAGCGCCGTCTGTCCTATCCAAAAGGTCATTATCATCAACTACTAAAATTAAAACTATGGAGGATTTTAAGACATTGTCCTGAACTACAATATCAACTATTTGTGACAAGACTAAATTAAAAACTATCAATATTTGTATTATACATCTACTGCAGGAAAGTGAAGAGTCCAAGCCGGGCTCCTGCAGATCCAGTATCATCAGCAGAGACTCACCTGACAACCTTCATGGAGTTGTCGTACTTCTCGTGGTTGACACCCATGACAAACATGGGAGCATCAGCACTGGGAGCAGAGATCACCACTCTCTTAGCACCGCCATTCAGGTGAGCCTACAAGGAAACAAGAGGATGGAGGTCAGGTAATGACAAACACGATAATTATGCTCATCAAATGAAACATGAAATTATGTAGTATGCAGTACTTCTATAGACACTGAACTCCCTTCATGCTCTACAATAAAACAATTTAGTGCACACGTGGCGTTAGATACTGTTTCTGGGTCAAAGTTCACATGCTCTTTTTTCCACAGTCTACAGTAGTAAAACAAAGACACTAAATTAAAAAAATACAGAGAAATCAGCCGGGGAACAGTTGGCAAACTTACAGAGGCCTTCTCGATGGTGGTGAACACACCGGTGGACTCCACG